AATGCATGTTGGAAAGCGAGCGAAGCCCATGTGAAAAGGCCGTGTGCTGTGTGGCTCCCATCAAATGACGTTCCAGAAAAGGCCAAACTATTTGCCGAGTGTTAGTGAAGAGGCAGGGGGAAGAGGGTGATCAGAGGGGTTTTTAGGACAGAGAAACTCCTGTGTCATCATATACCTGCTCAAGCCTATGGAATTACAACACCAAGAGTGAGCCCTCGGTGAACCCACTGGGACTCCGGGTGAGGGTGACGTGTCATAGTGGCTCACCAGCTGCAGTAAATGCACTGCTCTGGGGGGCAATGGATCAGGAGGCCATGAGTGGGGCAGGGGACATGTGGGAACCATCTGCACTTTCCACTTAATTTTGATGGGTACCTTAAACTGTGCTAAAAATATTAAGTCTCAAAACACACACACATACACACACACACACACACACGCACATACACATCACTCAACCACCTGAGTCTCAGTTTTCTCATCTGCAAAATGGGCATGGAAATAGTTGCCCAGGCATGCGTGGGCCGGGCATGGCCCATGTGGACAAACGGCACAGCTGAGACACTCTTCCCACGTGGGCTTCTCAGCACAGCCACCTCCTGTGAAGCCTCTGACCTCAAAGTCTACTCAGGAGCCTGCAGCTTCCCAGGCACCAGGTGATGGCCCTACAGGCAGGGCCCTGGCTGGGTGGGCACCAGGACAGAAACACCAGCAGATCAGAAAACCCAAGACAAAAGTGCCAGGAGGCTAGAACCTCTGGACCAGAACACACCCAGCAGCACCTTTGAGCCTTCTCGGTCTGTCCTGGAAGAACAGGGAGGAAGCCCAGGCAACAGGGATCGGATCAGGGCCAGCAGCATGAGGCATGGGGTGCGTGGACAACATGACCACAGCCTGGGTCCCAGAAAGATGGGAAGACCACAGAGGGTGTTTTGGGGAGAGGCTGGGTTGGAGCCACCCACCTTTGATCAGACGGAACCTGAAGGAGGGAAGGAGACCAACCCCTCTCAGCAACGAACCAGACACCACCAGGCGTAGCTGGGTGTCGGGACAGCCCTGGGTAGCTTGGACTGGGGATGTGGCCAGGAAGCCCCTGAGGTCTGAGGTGAGGGGGTGTCATGTGCTCTGATGGTTACTTGAGAAGAAAATGGGCCTGAGACTGCGCTGGGTTGCAGTTCTCTGACTTCCCATCAGGGTCCTTTCTGCCACAAAATACCTGCCCTCGACAAGCAGTGCATGGCTGTCCAGACAGCAGGGACGGAGTTACCACATTTGGTGGCCAAGGACGAAGACAGGACAGTGGTGGGGAGCTGCCCTCCTCGCCCAGACCTGCCCATGGTGGGAGCTGTCCTCCTCTCCCAGACCTGCACATGGTGGGAATTGTCCCCGCCCAGACCTGTCCATGGTGGGGGAAGTGCCCTTCTCACCCAGACCTGCCTGTGGTGGGGACTGTTCTGTCCCAGACCTACCCTGCAATCCAGTGAGTGAACCTAGTGCAAGTGACTGCACAGGCTGACACCAAGCATGGTGCAGCCACGCTCAGGCTGGACAGGGTCCGGCTCGGCAGCCTCCCCCACCAGGGGCTCCAGAGACCCAGGTCAGGCAGGCCCAGAGCATTTTCCCCACAGACCACAAAGGAGAGTGACCACTCAAAAAGCAAACAGCTCTGAAAGATTTCTCGGAATTCCTGGAATCCAGGCTACCCCTACACACAGACCATCCTATGTAACTATTTGGGGGCTTTAATTGAGGATTCTGTCTCTGAACTGTTCCCACAGGAACAATTGATGTGCTTAGATGGGAAAATCAGAAGTGGGGACACTCAGCATAGATCAGTCTCAGGAGAATGTCAGATTGGAAGGAAGACAAGCATAAAAGTTTCTGATGATCCCATAAGAAAGGAAGCACATGGGCATCCTTTAAATCTTTCATAATTAACAATGTCATTCTTAAGGTACACAGCTGCATTTTACAGAGGCCAATTGTTTAAAGTATGTTTACTCCCCGTCCACAGATTTAGAAGCAAAATGTTCCACGTTGAGTGATAAGAGACAGAAACTATAGATTCTGGCAAAAGTGTGTTGCTTTCAATCACTGAATACAGTGTCATTTTAACAAAGATGTGTGTCAGGAAAGTAATTTCACAATAACTATTTTCTAAATGGAAATGTTATGGCTTTTTTCTTGATGCCAGTCATATGAAAAATGCTAATTTTACTACCAATTGTTATCTTGAAATCATCGTGAATAAAATAATGACCCATTATCAAATTTCTGACAATGGCTGTATCTTTGGAAAGAACTTACTTAGTCCAAGGTTCAGACACAGCTTCAGTCAACACTAGGTTGTGTGCACAGATGCTCCGGGGTAAGTAATTCTGTATCTTAAATGGACAGAGTGAATAAAGGAAGGCGTACTGGTGTGTGGAGACGTATATTTTCAGAAATCCCCTGGGCATGCTGCTTGGTGGGTGGGAAGCACCCGCAGTGAGGAGGTATCTGGCTGTTTCATCAACAACCTGTAAATGCACAGCATGCATTTAAAACTACCTTCCTGCCGCTTCTGTGGCACTGCAGTGCTCTCCCATGCACGTAGCCTTCACTGTTCCTTAAGTGAATTCTCTACACAAGGTGTATGACGGGCTGGCTGTGTGCCTGTCAGGTTGGAGGGGGAGTAAGGAGCCATACTTGGATTCCTCATAAGCATCTGTCCCTCTGCTGCATACAGTAGAATAACAGGAGACAGGAAACACTTGCTTACAATTTTATATGTATAATTGTCAGAGCTTAATTTTTATATGTATATTAGGTGGAGAGGTCACATACAGCCCGTGTTGACAGTGAATCTTGTACAGCATGTCAAATTTACTAAAGACTTCCTTGCTGAAGACAAGAGCAAGCCATCACGTTAAATAGTATTTAAATAAAACAGATATGCTTTAGAAAACAAAAACTGCAGGTGGTTTTGAAGTTACTAATGCCGGTTAAATAACATTTGAGTGGATGTTATTGATGCTGGTTTGCAGTGATTAGTGCATTTGGTTTGAGGTTATTAATGCTGGTTAAATAACATTTGTTGTATATCCATCAAATATACAATATCCTCAAACAGTACCCTGATTTGGTTGTGAAAAATGGGCAGTCTGACATATCTGAGGAACTGTATGTACATCTTGCAGCTATATTTTTCCAATTTGAATACCATATATATACACCACTTACTTTCTGGTGATCCAGTTCTGTTTTAACCATAAATAAATTGGCTTGGTTTAAAAAAGCAATATTTATTACTTGCAAATACTTACTGTTGAGTAATTGTTGCAAATTGGGAGGAAGGAAAAAACTTGGTAAAATCATCCCTCGCCACCCCACAAGGCACTGGGGTATCCCCATGAAATAAAGCCTTCCCACAGCTGCAGTTACTCCAAGAGAAACTCTCTGCCCTGGGCCACAAATCCCACTGGAGGCTGGCACTTCCTAACTGCTCTCCTGGAGAACCATGTCGTCCCGGTGTGAATGACATGCGTGACAGGCCATCCTGGCTGAGGAAGCCAGCACTTGTTGCTAATAGCAAGTGTGATTCACCAAGCTGGAGAGAGTCCCACTGCCTTGCTCTCTTTCACGAGCAAATTAAAGGCCACAACAGACACCATTTTAACAGTTGACCTCAGTGTGGAGAGGCACCGAGCTCTGGAAAGAAAATTATGAATGAAATAGTCGACACCCACCTAAATATGGACAAACCAATAATAGCTTCCTATCGGCCACACTCAGTCCTGTACAGAGTGTAATATTTCAATGTAAGGTATTTGATCGTTTATAACAGGAACTTTTAAAGCTAGCAATTACCTAGATGCCTAAGCTAATAAATCCTTTTACTGACATTCTATTTAAACAGAAAGATGCTAGGCAGTACCATTTAAAGAGATGCATATTTTTGCACAAGGTAAAAAGCAAAAGAAAAAAAAAAATAAAAAGATGCCAGCATGGTTAGGCAAGACAAGAAGCACAAAAAGAAAATCCCTCCCAAACACACTTGACCGTCACCCTGTGGCGGGTGTAGGTGCCAGTCTTTTGTTATAAAGTTCCCCACTGTTAAAGCCCTTCATGGATGGTGTAAGCTCGAGACCTCAGGATGGCAGGGACCCTGGGCAAGATGTGAGCACTCGGAAGCATGCCTCCTCTAAAACCTCAGCAATTCCTATCACACTGAAAACACTGTCTCCTCCAACAGAACAGAGGACAGTCCACTTGGTGAGCTAAAATCCTGGAATCTCCTGTTTCTGAAGAGGTTGTTGGTCTTTAAGACAAATATACGGCAGCACTTTATGACATCTCAGTCAAACGTCTTCCCCCTTTTATCCTACTTAATGCAGCTGATAAAAGGCACCCAATCTTTCGCTGCACTCGGCAGTACAAAGGAAGCTGTCTCCACAGGCTTCTCTCTCCATTGCTTGCAAAGAAAAACACAGGTCTGAAAAGCTGCAGGTCCCTGGATTTACTCATTCCCAAAGCAATACGGAAGCCAGCGGCTCAGCTGCTGCATCTTTGCTGTAGCAAATGGAGACTAAGCCAGAAGAGTTCCTGCATTACACACTGCTCCGGCATTCGGCGATTATTGGAATCGTGGTTAATTGAAGACTGAACTTGCCTCCTTAGAATTACAGCACCGTAGTTCTGGGCTGCTGTGCACGAGCTTTTCCCCAGAGCCTCCTGGCAATTAAGATGCTCCCTGGATTGCAGGCATACTCACCGCCCCCACCTCCAGCTGCAATCACAATGTCTATCAGGAGATGAGTGTGTTACTTATAAGAAAGGCACGACCTATGGCCAGGAGGGAGGGCGCGTGAGGAAAAGACGTACTGCAAAGTATGGAGGAAAGCAGCTTCACGATTAACTAGTCAGAGCTGCCAGTCGGCCACTGTCTACCTGATGCCACCGCACAGGGGAAGTGGACGTTCCAGGTAAAGTAAGTCAGAAATGAGTCATCCTTGACTTACCGAGGAGAGACTCCTGCCGCTCCGTCTGCAGCATCCAAATGCCGAGCACAGGAGGCGTCTGGGCGGACAGGGGGACCTGCACTCAGGGGAGTCTCCACATCCTTGCTTAGAGGCAGGCCAGGAAGCGAGTGTGCACCAAGGCGCCGTCAGCCACAGCCCGGACCAGGCTGCCACGGAGCTCTGCCAGCCAGGCACTGCAGCAGCGTGGCAGGCACAGGACTGCGATGCATGGCCCACATAGTCAAGCGTGAGAGAAAACATGGATCTGGAGTCAGCTCCATGTGGATGTGGGGGCCACCTGGTGCAGAGCAGGAGACGCGAGCTCCTTCCCCGTAACACAGTTAGCCATGGTCGTAATTACCGCGCACTGCTCTCCCCAAGGATATCAATTACAGAGAGCAGGTGCCTCCATCTCCTGTTTTTTTTTTCAGATACACGTCTATAATCTCATTTCACAAATGATCCCTAATTAAACAGGAGCCACCTATTGTGATGATATCATTTGCTCTAGTAGCCATAAATGGGCAACTTCCTAGGGAGCGTCACAGGGCTGACGACACGGGTCTTTATAAGAGTGAGTGGGCTGGGCGCTCAGAGGGGCCCGTCCACACAGAGAGGCTCCTGCCGGCAACGTCGTGTGCTCCTGGGTGTCTGAAAAGTTACAGAGGAGGAAAGCCCTCCACAGAAACACTCAGTGCAACCTCCAAGAAAGTCCTCATGGGGGAGGGACAGAGAAGGAAATGTATGGGAACTCGCTGAATCTGTAGCATAACCCAGCGCCCACCAGGGCCACCGCTCCCTGGAAAACACCACAGGGACACTGTGACAGTGACAGTTTGGGGCCTTTTTGCTGCTGCTGTTCTTGGAAGTATGGAGACTCCAGCTCTGCCTGAGTCCACACGTGTCTTACTCCAAAATATTCATGGCTGGAGGGGAGGGATGAGAATTAGGAGGGGTGACAGATCTTTCCATGACTTGTGGATGGTAGAGTTGTGACTGAGTTGTTTTAATTGTAAACTCTACCTTCCAGCAGCAGTTTTCCCTCAATGAACATGTGGAAGAGCCAATGAGCTGTGATTCATTCATACACACACTTCAGCTTCAGCACTACCCATGCCTACAAGGAAAGCTGGTGGTAGAGATCACGGTTGGGCCCACATTGGAGAGAGTAAAGCAAGTGTTTGGGCAAATTTTCACCATAAAATCTTCCAAAATTTCCCCTCAACTATTCCAGTGACCCAAAGAGTTCACTTGAAATGGGTGGTATTTCCACAGGATGGCTCACCGTTAGCAAGACTGCCTGGTGAATGACAGAGCCATGTCTACAGACCAAGTCAGATGAGAATCTTCCTGGAAAACAGTCCTGTGGACAGGTCATGCATGATGGAAAGGTTAGGGTGCTCCCCTGCCGGCGTGGGGAAGTGCTATAGTTTCCCAGCAGAGAGACGCATCCACGCTTCACCAAAGCCTGTGTTTATTACACAATGTCAATATGCCAACACATGTACTGATGGCTCGGAGACACACTCAGATCCCTGGACAGTGAGGGAGCACAGCCCACCTCCTCTTCCCCACCAGCACGCCAGGCTGCCCCTGCCGTGACCTCCTGCACACAGGAAGACTGAGACATGGAACCCAGACCCGTCTCTGAGGAAAAGGCTGCCCAATGGACGTCCTGAACTGTGGCAATGATATTCAGTGAGGACATCACCATTACCAGGAGAGGGTAGAATAGCATCCCCCCAAATATATGGCCACTCGGATCTTCAGAAGGCGATCTTATTTGGAAATGAGGTCTTCACAGATGTGATTAAGCATCTTGAGGTGAGATCATCCTGGATTTAGAGCAGGCCCTAAATGTGATGACATGCAGTGTTTTAAGAAGAGACGCTTAGGACAGAGAGACCCACAGTGAGAGCGGCGGCTGTGGGAAGCAGAGGCAGGGGCTGGCACCGCAGTTCTGTGGGCCTGGAACAGGAAGGGCACAGCAGCTGGGGGGCGGGACCGACACCCTCAGGGCCTCTGAGGGAGCCCACCCTGCCGGAACCAAGGTTTTGGGCTCCCGGACTCCAGAACCAGGAGAGGATAAATTTCTGTTGCCTCCAGCCACCCAGTCTGTGATCATCATGACAGCGGCCACGGGAAATGGATGCAGCCACACAAGCCCTGAGGCTTTTCCACTGGGAACCCTGTGGAGGAACTCAAAGCCCCAGACTCACGTCCCGAGATTCCGCTTCTGGTTCAACAAGCCATCCCGGCGACCACTTGCTTGCTGTCAACATGTCCTTGCTTCCATTGTGCTGGCCTTCAAGAGCCCAATCATACCTCAAAACCTCCAGCTGTTAATACCACGGTTCATGCTCCCTGCACCACACAGAATGGCAGTGCATCGCCGCTGCCCCAACTCTCCATGCGGCCCACGTGGTCCACAGCCTGACTCTCCACGCCGCCCACGCGGTCCACAACCTGACTCTCCAGGCCGCCCACGCAGCCCACAGCCTGACTCTCCACGCCGCACACGCGGTCCACAGCCTGACTCCTTCCCCTGGTGGGTGACTCTCCCACAGCCTGACTTCCTTCCCACAGGGGGTGACACTGTCATCATAGCCTAACTTCCCATGGGGGACATGTCTCCGTTCTGTTCTGGCGTTTTCTGTCGTCACCACTGCACCCACACAAATGTAGAATTCCCTCACCCACCTCAGCCTTCCCACAGGAAAGAGGGGGCACCTTGGTCCAAGGACGCTGACCACAGCATGTCCCCCCATAAGCATTTTATTAGGTGGTGGGGACACAGGAGGGAGCAAACCAGACCAAACCCATGAACACACCCCTGGCTGCCAGATGCTCACAGCCTGATACAGGGGAGGCGACGGGCTGACTCAGAGCAGCCCACACTCACCACACAACACTTGCCCTGCTCATGCAGTCCTCCCACGGCCCCTGAGGCTGGCACTCCTGGGGGCTCCATCCTATGGAGGGAGAAACCAAGGCACAGAGCTGAGGAAGGAGCCCAGGCCGATGGGCTCAGGAGCACGGTTCCAGAGCTGTGTTCCTAAGGAAGACACCATCCCTCCTGCCTCCCACGGAGATGGCAGGGAGAGTCTACAGCCCAGGGCACCCAGGAGGCCCTTGAAGATGAAGTGTGCTGGGACCCGGGGGGTGAGGCACTGCCAGGGATGGAGCCTTTCCCTGTAACTAAAGCCAAAAGGGTCCAGGGCCCAAAGAGAGCTGTCGCAGAGCCCAAGAGCAGAGAGCAGCGCCCTGGCTTTAGGACTCCCACTGGACACAGAGAGCTGTCACGGAGCCCAAGAGCAGAGAGCAGCGCCCTGGCTTTAGGACTCCTGCTACTATAACGAGCCCTAAAGAGCCAGGCCCCTGCCCCCTCCAAACTGATTTCCTCCTTCCTAGCACAGTCCTTCCCTGCTGAACAACATTCACCAGCTAGGTTGTTGCATGGCCCCTGAAGCTAACCTGAGAACGGCTGCATGACAGGAATCGGGAGCCCCTCTAGAGCTCTGTGGATGATTGAACTGGATGGCAGGACTTGCAAGGCACTCTAGAGCTCTGTGGATGATTGAATTGGACAGCACGACTTAGAAGGCACTCGAATTCTGTGGATGATTGAACTGGATGGCAGGAATTGGGAGCCACTCTAGAGTTCTGTGGATGATAGAACTGGATGGCAGGAATCAGGAGCCACTCTTGAGTTCTGTGGATAACTGAACTGGACAGCAGTACTTGGAAGCCACTCTAGTGTTCTGTGGGATGACTGAACTAGACGACAGGCCTTAGAAGGCACTCTACAGTTCTGTGGATGATTGAACTAGATGGCAGGAATCAGAAGGCACTCTAGAGCTCTGTGGATGACTGAACCAGATGGCAGGAACTGGGAGCCACTCTAGATTTCTGTGGATGATTGAACTGGATGGCACAAAGTTCAGAACCCAACGTCAGACAGCGCCTCACAGCTGAGCACGGTCTGCAGCCATCGGGTTGCCAATTGCAAGCATAGCAGATCCTGGGTTCCTACAGAAATTTGGGCTTATTCTCTCAGTGCCAATTGAGTGACTATCTATTTGTAAAGCAACAACTCAGTCCCAAAAGGGGGTCTCTAGCAAAATGCTGAAAACAAGACCCACTGCTAGTAAATCCAGCCACACCCCCATGGGAACCCACCCAGCTGCAGAGCAGGGTAACACCTTTTCTTCTCAGAACTGTTAAGTTCACCAGAAGCACACTATGGATAGAATGTTTTCCCATAATCCTAGCTTCATGTACAACCACAAATAAAGGAAAAGAAGTGTTCATAATTCATGCAGCTTGATGTCTCTGGGTCCTAACATAAAATGAAGGATTTCAGAACTGGAAAATGAGAGCCAGAAACTCAACATCCTTTTTTTTTTTCTCCAGTCTTAAACATCAAAGCTTCAACAAGTACTTTGTTTTTCACATTAAATTAAAGATTATCTCCCGTTTGTTCTCTTGGTAACACATTTTAACCTCTGGTGTTAGTATCAATGAATATAGTCACAATCCTCAAAGATGAAAGGCTGCAAGCTGTTTGCAAATAAATCTAATTCAGAGAAAATTACACCGGAGGTTTTCTTGTTTGCCTGGTCCCTGCTTACATCCTCCAGAAAGATTTTCTTGACGTTTAGAATAGAGATTTCTAATCTTCTTTCATAAGTAGACGTAAGAAATCAAGAGGCAATACAGCCAGTAAGTTACAGAGACAATGAGTGAACAGCCAGATTCTTAGGCAATGCCATTTCTATCTACAGAAGGGAAGAAACATCAATTAAAGACGTAGGCCTTGTGTGCACAACCCTAACATAAATAATTATTTAGTAAAATGGAAAGTGCATGCAGCATTTGAGTCTCTGGATTAACATGAACTGTATGTAATTTGAATTTACCTGTGTTAAAACTCCTGTTTCTTAATAACCTATGTTAATACCGACGGTAACTTCAATGTCTCACAATGGATGCATACCTCATGGAAGCTCTGTGTGTCCTTAAAAAGTATTCCCATATTGAAAGCTCTCACAGGTTTGAAAGGTAAAGCTCTGCAGTAATAATTTAACTACCCAAAGTTATGTTCATGCAAAAAAATATTTCTCTCATGGTAGCGTCTCTCAAAACTGTGGGTGTGGATGATTCCTGTGGGCCCAGAAGTTCTCAGTATTAACAAACACTGTCTCTGTCTCTGTCTCTTCGAGGGGTTTTATCATTAGGAAATTCTAACCTCTCTAGTTGGGGTGTATTCACTAGAAAATGAAGGTAAAGGATTAAGGGGGAATTGGTATTACTGACTTATCTTCAGGAACTATTAGAATTTCAGGGGCACAACTGCATCTAGTCACGACAACCAGTCTTATGTAGGTGGTGGAATTCCCATTTTACAACTAAAGAAACTGAGATCAAAATTAAGAAACTTCTGGAGCGATTACCTATCAGGGTCAGAATTCAAATCCAGCTCAGCCTGACTCCAGAGCTGATGTGAACAGCAGCACAGCACTAACAGCATTCCTGGATAAACCGACATTTGGGCGCGGGCATGTCAGTGTCCCAGCGCCTTTCAACCGAAGCTGTGTTTCATTACACACACATTTTGGAAGTCATTAGTTGGAGTCCTGCTGGTGAAGGGGACAGGTACAATTTTCTTTGATAGTTCTACAGCAAACAAGAGACTGAAGAATGGCTCCTTAAAACAGTTCCAAAGCATGAAAAAGTTCCAAAATTAAGACACATAAATAAACTATGAAAGAAGATGGAAATAACGGAAGAAAGCTAAAGTAAACTAGGACAGAGGACACACAGGGTTCGAGGAATTCCACCCTCTGCCACATGCATGGAACAGGTGCATGAAATGAAACCGCGGATGTGTTAGAGGAGCACAGAGGCTCAGGGGAAAGTACCAGGACACCGTGAGTGAAGAGGCCACCATGATCAGGCCCCTTGTAAAACCATTCCACACAACACACTCAACTGGGATTGCTTGATCAAAAGTTATAACCAGGAAAAAACGGGTGTGTTTTCCAAAAACAAGAATTACATTTCTCCTGAAAACCCTCCAGTGCTACACTGGAATCACCTGAAGAAGTTTTACAGCTGGATGCTTACTCGGTCATGAAATATTCCACATGGGAACTACCAAGCCCTCTCTGCTCTGCACTCCCTGAGCTGCCTCCATGAGGAGCTGCCTCCATGAGGAGCTGCCTCCTGCATCTCCACAGCCCCAAGCCACACCAAGATGACCACACTCCAACCCTTGCAACCACTCTTTTCTGTAACTGGCCATGTATCATTATCATCACTACATCTGAAGATTGAGTAGTGGAAATCCATAGAGATTAAACATTGTGTCTAAATCCTTGAAGTCAGAATCAGGATTCAAGCACAGATGAGTCTGACTCAGTGCCCCTCTCTGCTGGTGAGGCCTCCTCAGTCGGATGAGCCGTGAACGCCAAGCAAGGCAATGTTGCTAGTTGCAGATTTCTGGGCTGTTACAACAGGGACCCCAGCTTTGGAACCTGCTTTGTGGAGCAGCTGGAAGACAGCAACCAAAGGCTTACCCAGAGGGCTGTCTCCAGAGTCTTAACCAGAGGTCTGGCAGTGAGTAGGCGAGTGCCTTTTTGGTTTTAGACATTTGACGGAAAATATTTGTAGACTCATTAAATAAACAGTCCATCTGTAAAATATCTTATAGTAACTACAGAGTTTAAGTAGAAAAATATTTCATCTGAACCAAACAGTAAAGCAGGAAAGTCATTACACATTCATAGGTAAGGAACCTATTGCATCAATATTCAGAGCAGGAAGAAGAGATATAAAGTGAATGGATGACTCCAAATCACTGTGACTGATTTAAAATGAAAAACAAATTGATTTGCTAGTTTGATAAGTTGAAGCCAAACTTCTTAATTAACTCATCTTCTGTTTCATTAAAATATAGTTCATCAGGCCCAAACCACCAGCAAAAGTGTTTTATTTTTAGGTAATGTCATCATATAATCACATAATTGGACAATTAAGAAAAAGTAGTCTCAAAACACACACTGTTAGCATACACCTTTACAAAATGTCTATTCCGTAGATTTGATTCTTGGCAAACATTTTTAGAAAGTTGATCCTTATGAACATCTTAAATGTGCATCATAACATGTAACTGTTCTTCTGAGCATGTGGCCTCAACATTTCTTGCATATTCAATTTTCTATATGCAAGTACTGTTTCATGAGCAAAGACTATTTTTCTATGCCACTGTCCAAAAAGCCTATTATTCTGTTCCAGTGCTTTTCATAAAACAACGAAAAAGCATTAATGAAAATAGTTGATAATGAAAATGTTTTTAGATAAGTTATGGTTTTTCCTTACAATTTGATTGAGAGTAATTTAGTCTCAGTATCCAAGAGTTTTTAAAAAATCTTGTCCAATACAATAGCATAACAGTAATACAATGTAAAAACCATGAAACAAACATTCCAAATAATGTGAATTTATGCTGAGAATACTGCTTTGTTTGATTTAAATTAAACAGTCATTTGTTATCTGATCATTCCTCAGTATACAACCCAAGAGAGGGAAGATAAATTTTACTGGGCATGTTTTATTTACTTTCTATACAAACAATGAATTCCATGAAAAATATAAATATTTGCAGAGATATATATGCTAATATACAGTAAGTTAGACTACAGTATATAGTAGTCTATATACAGCTACTTATCTAAAAACTTATGACAGCTCTGATCTAAAAACGTCTATTGACATGATGGAAGAGGCCTACAAAGCCGAAGAGTAATTGGCAACTGCAAATCTAAGATGCTCTTAGCTAAAAGTCCAAGCCATTTAATACAGACACTGAAACAGTGACACAAAATGTTTTAATACTGGGTTTCAGCGTCAACATGACTACGAATGACTTTTATGCATGGATCATGTTTGTGTCTCTGCGTACATGTGTGTGCATGTGTGTCTGTACATGTGTGCATGCATTCACTCCTGTACTCAAACCAGGACAAGAAAAACCTACAGGAACCCTCCTGGCAACACCATGGGCAGCACACGGTGCTCAGCACTCGTGATGATGAACAGTACCCAGCAGTGGAATTCTGAACCTGACCAGGAAAAAGAAGCCGGGTAACACAATTGTTGTATTGCTAACCACAGATTTCTTTACACAGGAAGACCCAAATAAAAGTGAAATTCCTCAAAAGGATCATTTTTAATCTTTTGGAAAACATAAACTCGACAGCACTTGCTCTAAAAGCACTGCAGAAAAAGTTCCTATAAATAGCACAGGAATTCATTCTGTTAGGAAGGAAAACCAGAGTAATGGTAATGAAAATAAAATATGAAAGTTTTGGTTCTTAAATATTATAATAATTTTTGGCTGCTTGCTAACCTGCCACAGTTACTTGCTTGGTTGCTATGGCAACCATCCACTAGTACCCAATATGTCAGGCAGAAAGACTGGGGCCCTTTGCAATTAAATCCAGGAGTTATCCTGTCTCCTGATAGAGTACACATCCACGGAATTCCTCACAGTTATGGGCCTCTTTGCTTGATGTGTTTCCGTGTCAATCTTCATCACTCATGAGTCTGTCTCTTCTTCAGCTGTATCCACACATTTCACTCCTCAGGTTTTTTTTTTTTTTTTTTTTTTTTTTTTTTTTTTTTAAGACAGTGGCTCTTGTTGCCCAGGCTGGAGTGCAGTGGCACAATCTCAGCTCACTGTAACCTCTGCCTCCTGGGTTCAAGTGATTCTCCTGCCTCAGCCTCCTGAGTAACTGGGATTATAGGCACATGCCACCACACCCAGCTAATTTTGTATTTTTGGTAGAGATAGAGTTTCACCATGTTGGTCAGGCTGGTCTCGAACACCTGACCTCAGGTGATCCAACCACCT